TAAAATAACATATTTGAAAATGTTTTATGCCAATCATATGCGCTAATGAATTCTAATAAGGATAGAACAAAAAAATTTTAGAAAATGTTAACTTTTAGGCGTTTTATTAAGAGTTTTATAAATTTATGAAAAAAGAGTGACCAACTTGATATATTTTTTAGAGAATTAGTTAATTCTATATTTTGTTTGTTAATTCAGGTTTTTGGTCTAAAATATATTATTTTATATAATTGTGACTGAATCCATAATTTTTATTGACCTCGGACTTTTGCTTCAGCCGCAGCGACCAATTTTATCGCGAATTTTGGTTTACATAAAGGTTCACATGTGATATATCTATTTTGTTAAGAATTTAACCCTGAATACGATGATATAAAGTATATTTTGATAAACTTAAGATTTTGTCAAAATATTGTCATGGAATAAGCAAAGTTTACATGAAAAATTTATTTCATCGGTAAGTTGTCCAGTTTTTAACTTAAATGATCATTTCTTAGAACGGCTAATGTTATTTCTATGGAGAACTTACATAAACATGCATCAAAGTTAAAAACTGGTCAATTTACCGATGAAATAAAATTTTCATGCAAACTTTGCTTATCCCACGTGTTTAGCAAATCATTATCGGATATTTTCCGATATAAATTTATCAAATCCAATTTGGCAATCAAATTCTGGTCACCATTTAGTAAGTTCGGGAATAATTGGGGGCTATTTTTTGACTGTTCCGGTTAAGATTTAAAAATTTTTGTCAATTGGGATAATAAATTATATTGTTTAAATTAGTTTCGGGTGGTTAAATGGTCAGAATTGTCTCAGTGGCCATTGTTTGGGGCTCCCGAACATTGACCGCAAAGTACTGCTCCACGGCTTATGCGATGGCCAAATGATCTAGTTTAATATATTTTTATATTTAAATAAACTCAATTAAATGTATTTATGTTCTCCCGATACAATTAAATTGAAATCTGACCATAATTAAACTATTTCACGTTACGCGTCAATACTTGTGTCACTCTTTTCAAAAACAGCTTTTATACTTTTGGTCACTGCGACCAAACGGGTAAAATTATATTGACCAAACCTGGTCAGGGTCATTTTGTGTGCTTAGACCTCGTGGTCTGACCACTTATTTAAAATATATTTCATCTCCCGATTGATTTTGTCACGAAGTATGCTTGCGTCAATAATAGTGCCGTTCCGTGTAATAGACTATTAATAGTAGTAAAATGAAGATTAAAATAAACTTAATTTTAAAAACTGCTACCTTGTTGCAATATAGCCTTAATATCCTTGTTTATACTTTGCACTCAAAATTCTAAATGGATCCCTAGGTTATCTAACAGTTAGCAACTATTTTTAGGGCAAATCATATAACAAAGTGTTCTGGCTCACTTTATCATAATGTTAGTACTATATCAGAACACTCATTATGGAAACAGTATTGTAAAGGATATGAAACCTTCTTGAAAAATATTTTTCACACAATTGATTGCAAGTTTAGTTATGATACTGGTCGTTTTTTGAACAACAAATATGCTTTCACTTAATGATAATTGGTACTTTACAACAATTTTTGATTAGTTACATATAGAAAGTTAAATGCTTCAAGATTATTATACAATATAATACAATTTTAGGAGCATTTCAGTGCATTTGTTATCAGGGTATTGCTGGAGATGTGAATTAATTAATGTGTTTTTTATTTGTTTAATCGACTAAACTATTTGCGAAAGATATGTCACATAAGCCCTCAAAACTTTTGTTTTCCTATAAATACTTAATTCAAAAACACTTTCCAATCAATGGTTTTGTAATTCATTTAGAAAATCATGCATTTCTTATTGACTTGTCTATTGGGCTTGAGTTTAGCGGTTTTGGGTATAGTTTTCACTCAAATAATTACAATCAGACATATTTATTTTGATTGAAACTTAAGTTTTAATGTCAAATGAGAGCGTTACTCACATTTCCGGTCCTGAAGCCCTTCCCCTGCTATCAGACACAGACATTGCGGAGTATGACACTACTAAACCTAGGCAACCAGAAGACGGCTAAGGGTGTGATCACTCTCTTCGAGACCTCGAGAACCGGCGACCGATTCAAAAAGACAGACCTCAAGTTTGGCGACCATCACGGGGAACACCCCACCAAAACACAGACCATAACAGTGGACAGGAGTAAGAAAGTGCAGAAAGTGATCGGTTTTGGCGGTTCGTTCACCGACGCCACCGGTTATATGATCTCACAGTTACCACAAGATCTTCAGAAACACGTCATCAAAGACTACTATTCAGCCAATGGTATTGAATATAATCTCAACCGTCTGCCCATCGGTGGCGCCGACTTCTCCCGACGCGCCTATAGTTACGACGACGGAAACGATGGAGACTTTGACCTCAAGAAGTGGGCGCTTACTCAGGAGGACAAGGAGTATAAGGTATGTGGTAAAATATTTATCTCATAGCGTGATAGATATACATACACCTGGATACATTATTTCAATTCAAACACCAGATCCCATTCATGAAACTGGCCAAAGAGGTGGGCGCTCACCCCCAGAAATTCTTTGGAAGTCCCTGGTCTGCCCCGGCCTGGATGAAAAACAACACTCAACTCAATCACGGCGGTTATCTTAAGGGCCAACCCGGCGAACAGTACTACAAGACTTTTGCCAAATACTTTGTTAAGTGAGTTATCAATCATATAGGAAATGAAAACTATTTTACAAATTACTGATTATTTNTCTGCCCCGGCCTGGATGAAAAACAACACTCAACTCAATCACGGCGGTTATCTTAAGGGCCAACCCGGCGAACAGTACTACAAGACTTTTGCCAAATACTTTGTTAAGTGAGTTATCAATCATATAGGAAATGAAAACTATTTTACAAATTACTGATTATTTTAAACTATTTTACAAATTACTGATTATTTTAAACTATTTTACAAATTACTGATTATTTTAAACTATTTTACAAATTACTGATTATTTCAAATGAATGTTTAGATTCCTGGACGCATACAAAGCCGAGGGACTGGACATGTGGGGCATAACCATCGAGAACGAGCCCTCAGCCGGAAATCAGCCCAACTATGGCTTCAATTCAATGGGTTTCACGAAAGAGATTCAGAAGGAGTTTATTAAGAAGGATTTGGGACCCACTCTACAGGCGGCCGGTTATGGCGCCGACAAACTCCAGGTCATGATCTTTGACGACCAGAGAGATGTGGTGCACGAGTGGGCCCAGTATATCATGGGCGACAAGGATGCGGCCAAGTATGTCCACGGCACCGCTTTCCACTGGTATGTCAACCGACCCGACAATCTGGGTAACTTGAAAAAGGCCCATGATGCCGACCAGTCCAAGTATATTCTCAACACTGAGGCATCAAATGGCGGAGTTCCTAACTTGGGTAACTGGGGCAACTTGGAGAATGATGCCAGAGATATTATCACGGTCAGTTTGTTTTAATTGCTATTTGCTTTATTTAATTTTCCTCTTATCTACACAAAACACGTGTAATTAAAACATTTATCAATATTATGGACAAAGAATAATAATTAGCTACAGAGATATGAATGCCTTATATGATCATGTTTTATAGTGTTTACGAAATAAGTAGTTTTCAACACTTTTAATTTATTTACAATCAAATCCATAATTAATCGAGACTTTTATTATCTAATCAATTAAAAGTGGCTCCTATTTGGGTATCATTAGTACTAAACTAAAGTGTTTTGTTCTCTAAAGACATAAGAAGTCCTTCAAAACAAATATCATTAAACTAATTGCTCTTTTGTTATCTTAACTTAATTTCATAGAAAAACAATACTTTAGATAAATTAATGCATTTTATGGGTTTGACTGAAATGAGTGAATTGCACTTCAAAATTGATAAACATTTTACGATTCCTTAATTAATCTCAATATGTAATCAATACCAGGATCTGAACAACTTCGTGGCCGGTTGGGTCAACTGGAACATGGCTCTGAACCCCCAGGGAGGTCCCAACTGGGCTAACCTGACCGCCGATGCGCCGGTCATTGTGGACCCCAGCAAACAAACCTATTACAAACAGCCCTCCTTTTACGGGTTGGGCCACTTCAGCAAATTCATAGCACCCGACTCTGTCCGCATCGACGCCCAACAGACCCTCAATTGGGATCAATTGCATACCACTGTCTTCGAGCGACCCGACGGCGCCGTTGTGGTCGTTGTCCTCAACACCAGCGATGATTTGGTTGAGTTCAACATCAAAGAGGGCGGCCAACAACTGTCCCATTTTGTGAGGGGACACTCCATACAGTCGTATATCTATTATAACTAAGAAATTTGTGGAAATGTTTTTTCTCCAAAGATTATTTCATATATATTGTTATTATTATTACTACTAATTATAGTAATTAATAATTTGTTGTAACTAATAAAAGTCATTCATTAAAAACTTTCTTTTATTTACAAAGAATTTTCCAAAGAATTTATTATTTTCTACATTATATATTGTTATTATTATTACTACTAATTATAGTAATTAATAATTTGTTGTAACTAATAAAAGTCATTCATTAAAAACTTTCTTTTATTTACAAAGAATTTTCCAAAGAATTTATTATTTTCTACATAAAGTAAACTTTTTATCAAGACATGTGATAGCACCGGAATAAATAGATGAATAAAGTAATTAATTATTCAAAATTACTTATAATCAATGTTATCATTTAATTCTGTGAATTTATTGAATCAACTTCTATGTTATAATTGCAATTAAAACTACAAGTACTGTACAGTAGAGTAAAGCTATAAAAATAATAATGTTTTCTCTTCAATCTACTTATTGTAAAATAAAAATTGACAAAATATTAAGTTATACAGTATAGAAATTTTCAAACTAAATGATTTTGTAAAGCTAGACTTTTGTTATAAAAACTCATATGATACTGTAATGTAATTATAATTCAAACTTATAAATATGAATGAAATAGCATTGACCAAACAAATTAATTAATTAACTGATTAACTGATTATTTTGTAAAGCTAGACTTTTGTTATAAAAACTCATATGATACTGTAATGTAATTATAATTCAAACTTATAAATATGAATGAAATAGCATTGACCAAACAAATTAATTAATTAACTGATTAACTGATTAATGAAATATTTTTTATGGACAGAAATGCTAAATATTTGTGATTTAAATCTTTATCTGTTGTAAAGCGACTAATGAATGGAAAGGGTGTGCAAAAACACACCACTTATTACAAAATTCCGTGTATTTATAACATGTATTAAAGATAAGAGATTATTTAAAATAAAAATTAATTTATTAGATGATGACTCTTATCGAAATTAATGGTATTGTGAAATCATATAAAACATATTAGATAATAATCAGCACAGGTATTGATTAGATAATAAATTTGTTATTATTGTTTGTTTATTTATCAGGTTAAATACAACTACACAAATATTCTAGAAATCCTAGTCTCAATAAATAACAGAATTAACTCATTAAACTATATGTAAATAAAAATACAACAATAGTAAATAAGTAAATAAGTAATAGTAAAATTCAGACAAAAAGTCTATTTCTTAGGCAACTATACTAAAAATCTTTTGTTTTATTCCACTTTAACTTTCATTTATTATTGTGTGAAGAACTTTGAACTTATTTTCTTAAATACTTTGGTTTCAAATTCAAAGTGTAATCAACTTATAAATTAAAGTGAGATAAATGATACATTAAATGTATTCATAAAATTGCTGTAAAAAATTAATGTCTTTTTTAGCAAACACTGCATTTGTTGTCCAAATAAAGAGCTTATTTTAAACTCACCAAAAGGTTCAAAACAAAGTTATCCAGATAATGATTTATTAAACTATTTTTAAGCTAATTAACAGATAATGAGTCACTTGTAGTGTACAAAGGAAATACATGATAGATATATGGCTTATGACATATGGGAAACGGAATATATTATCACAATATTATACAAGCCTTTAGATTAAATTCAAATTTAATTAGCAGTGATTTGTATGGAAAGCAGTGATTAATACCAATTAAAGTGTTCAAAGAAAGCTATAAATGAAAATCTGTTTAACAGATAAGAGATTATTATTTAGTGATGAGATAATGAATTGAGATTAAAAAATAAATTAAGTAATAAACATTTCATTTCTTCACGTGTTTATCAACACACTTATCATAGATACCATAAAATTAGTTAATCATTGCGCGATTAAGTCATAAACTTTTAGGATCTTTATGGCAATTATTGCTAAAAATGGGCAAAAGAATTGAATTGTTATTCAATTCACTCCCAATTTTATCTCAATTTATTGTTTGTCTCATTATTTGCTCTAAAACTCAAACATCTTATATAAGTGACGGTTTATGTCCACTTCAGCACTCATTTGTTGAAACATTGTCTTCGGATAAGTCTTAAGAATTTGAAGAATTGTGTTAAACTACAAAAAGTTTATTTAAATCCATTTATTAATTGAATGATTATTAGTTATATTAATAGTATTGCAAAACATTGAATAATCGCAACAAACAATGAAAACCAAAATCATAATCCTTTTGGACGAGTCGTTAAGTATGAGAAAGAAGAGGAATGAAGTGATCGGAGGTTTCAATGCATTTCTAAGGGAACAGAAGCGCCTGAAGTG